TGTTGCATCGATCGGGATTCGAACCGCGACTTCTCGATCGAGCGTCATGCAGCTAACACACTAGGCCACCTCACTCCTGCTAGTCGCGCTGGCAAAACTCAAATACATTCACTGCTGCTGCGCCATCTACCAAAACTAAACGAAACTAACAGCTGATGTGATTCAACGAATGTTTCTAGAAGAAGTTTGAATGTATGTGTGCACACGCATACGATGCTGTTGTAGCTGCTGCACGTGCGTTTGTTAATTGGCCAAATATTTGATTATTTTTTTATTAATTTTTGACTGAACGGAATTTAATGAAACTTTCAGCATATGATCTACATATTATATTGAATATTTGAGAAATTTAAAAAAAAGAAAAATCATTCACAATTAACTATAGTGGCACCTGATTTGAACTTGAATGTTTTTACTCGATAAAAACATAACGGGATGATTTATCGAATTATAAAAGCAAACTCGACGTCCGCGCTGTATATACGGTCATTTTAAAAAATTCAAGTCTCTAGCTCTTATATCTTCGGAAATCGACGCGTTCAAACATACGGACAGACGGACGGACGGACAGACGGACAGACGGACAGACAGACAGACGGACAGACAGACAGACGGACAGGGCCAAATCGACTCAGCTCGTCGCCCTGATCAAGAATATATATACTTTGTGGGGTCTGCCACGCCTCCTTCTGCCTGTTACATACATTTCAACAAAACCATTATACCCTGATTTCCCATTTTCAATGGGTTCAGGGTATAAAAATAGTAACAAAAATCAGCTACCATGAAAGTGTTTAAACAACTAAAACTATTAATTCATTATAGTGCTTTAACTACTTTGTAGTTAAAACTAATACTTTGTGTGGCCACCGTTGGCATCTATGACTGCTCCCAAGCGTCTAATCATCGATTGGACCAGGTCTTCCACTGGGATATTTTGCCATTCCTCCAAAACACTGTTTTTCCAGTTTTATTCTTTGGATGCCTCTTGGCGGTTCTCTTCTTCAGATAAGCCCACAAATTCTCAATGGAGTTTCACTCCGGGCTTTGAGCTGCCGAATCCAACACATTTTTACAGCTATAAAGCAGCCAGCACCTCACAATATTTGCCTTATGTTTGGGATCGTTGTCTTGAAACCTAAAAGTTGGTTTGCCATTGACAAAGAACCCAAATTTGTTGACACTGGCTACTAAATGTGTGCGCACAATGCCCAAATACTGTCTAGCATCTATGGTGTTCTCAATAACACATAGATATCCAACTCCTTTGCTTGAGATGCACCCCCAGACCATTACCAAAAGCTTTCCAAAATCAACAGTCGGTATTAGATTTTTTCTTTTCAAGGACTTTCAGGTGCTTGCGCCACACTCTAGTTAGACGATTGTTATAGTATAGCATAATTTTGGATTTATCGTAAAATATTACATCATCCCAATATGAATCTGTCTGATTTCTGTGCATTCTAGCAAACGTAAGACGCCTTTGAACGTGGTCTGCCGACATCTGTGGTTTTCTCCGATACCGATTGCAGAATATTCATTCACAGCCCAAACGCTGTTAACCAGAGTATATAGTGCGATTTTCAATGATCCCATTAAAATTGAAAAATCATCGATAGCTATTGCTATCATCATTGAAACATTGCAGGTCTCTAGCATTAATAGTGCCTTCAGGTCCGATTTGCCCCTAATGGGCGTAGATACATAATTTTGTCATTTGAATTTATAGGATCAGCCCATTAGCCCACATGCAAAATGTTTACGTTCTAGCTTTAAAACTATAGGAGATACCGTTTTATCCGATTTGCCACGCCCCCAATGGGCGTAGATATATCCGCCATTGCTTGTGATCTTGGCTGGTCGACGCGAATCTACATTCCAAATATCAGCTTTCTAGCTCTTCAGCTAATATGATTTCTGGCATATCGAAAAATGCATTTTCCGATTTGCCACGCCCCTAGTAGGCGAATCGGGAAAATTTTAACACTTTAAAATTCGGAGATATACCCGAGTATGTGTTCCAAATTTCAGTCTAGCTTTAATAGCGCTGAAATAAACTGCAGTCATACGGACAGACGAGCAGACAAACAGACGGACGGACAGCAAGACGGACATTGCATAAAACCAATACTCATTTCACTTTCATGAATGAGTATAAACAGAAAACTGATCCCCTTGCTATTTCGAATTATCGGGATTCTACGGCATTAATATGTTGGCGCGCACTGTAATTGTGCTTTCTACCTACTTGCCTATTTCCCCGTCTGAATGCCTACATACTTGTGCGTGTGAATCGAGCCTGTGTTTCGATGTACTTAAACAAAGAATGCGAGTTCTATGATCTATGCTTTGGTTTATTTATGTCTATGGACTACTTAGAGTGCAGCATGCTAATGCGTATTGAATTTGCTATTTTGTGTGTTTCGCGACTGTTGTAATGGTCGATTATGTATTGTATTATGGAGAAGTCTCGTTGTAGCGGGACGACTGCGTATGTAGCTGTCGTCGAATGTGGTTCGGTGAGTAACACAAGAAATTAGAAATATGTACAAAGTATGAATCGTTTCAGGAGTGGACGGTCACCGAAACTGTGTGCGTTAAGGGAAACTGTTTTCTCCGACATATGTAATTCATAATTTATAATTTTTCTACATGTTAGAGATTTACATACTCAGGCACATAAACACACAAATGCTTCTACAAGTGATACGATATATGGTGTCACACCAGATTGTCCATAGAGAGTGCGGTTTCCCGTATCGTAGATCAGTGGACAGAATTGAAGCTCCATTTTGAATTAGCTGCTACGCCTGAAAAAGGGTCTCAAAGCACAACGTCTCCACGGACTGTATAAAGATGAGATAAATCATCATTATTTTGTGTTTTTAAGACAAATTTTAAAAAGCTCGAACACTAATTTTCAAAACAGGAACGGAGACCCTAATCAATTACTTTCGGATGTGATTCGTGTTAATAACTCACTGAAATCGAAAATAACTCCACCAGATCATGAAATCAATATATTAAAAGATGATTTGGAGAACGCAGCAGTGTCTAATTTGTATTTTGGCAATGCGTTCGAAAATAAATTAATGAAGCCCAATTTACCGCGGCAAGTTCATTAAGGAATTAATAAGCCAAACTCCCCGAAAGGTAATACGCTTGTTTTGATCATAGTATCGATATTAAAATTTTTGTATTTCTAGATTGCCGGAAAATATTGATATAATGCAACAGGTCAATTTATTTTCCGTTAAAAATATGTTGAGACCATCCACAAGTAAGGACATCAATGTACTGGAATATTTTGAATGTCAAGACATTGACAATATACTAATTCAAATTAACAAAATATATTTGGTCAAGTGGGAGTTTGTGGAGAATACCATCAATTTTTGGGCGGAAGTCCAAAATTACAAAGACGCTGGCAACAACAAACCATTCAGTGGCTTAGCAGAGTTTGCCATCAAAATATTTTCGCTGCATGGTCCAACACAGAAATTCAACGTATATTCTCACAAATGAATTTAATAAAAATCAAATTACCGACCGCCATGAGCTTTAAAACATTAATTTAAATTAAAATACAAATGTAACGTGTTAAACTTCGATCATTTTTACTGGACTACAAAGACACGGAAAATTTTGCCATAATTATTCTCTACCATATGAGTACTTGACCCAAATTACTGGCAATGAGAAGTACACCGAATGTATGTGAAGAAGCTGACGAGCTAGATAGTATTTTAAGTATTCTGTAATTAAATGTAAGTATAATAGTATATAATTTAAGAACATGTTCCTTATTAATTTAAGAGTTTTTAATATTGATTTTTATTTTTGTATATCTTAATTTGTTATAAATTAAAGTAATGGGTTTAAAATTTTTTTTTTTTTAATTTTTGACAGCTTTTCTTACCAAATCTAGCAATTTTAGCTTAAAAGATTCTGGCAGCACTCTTATTGTTCAACAGTCAACCACCGCGGTCGAGCGCATGAAGCGTAAAGATTGCGCTTTCGTATATTTTCGTGTCCGGTCTATGTGTTCTATGGTTAGTGGATTTATGTAATTAACATGAGAATTTAACATAATAGGAGCATGTTATGATAATAACATGAATGTGGAATGTTGATGAAGTAGCAATGTATTGGTGCGCTGCCGCCACAGTCAGTCTGACACAATGTTGCGATGCTTCTTTGCGATGTTGTAAAACTTCATAGTGGCGTGACTGCGTCGCTACTATATACAATGCAAGAAGCAAAGTGAATGACGAAAGAGGAATAGCGGTTAGCGGTAAATTCTACGCCGAGAACGAGGCTCGAGAGCGAGAGAGATGCTTCAGCCGAGTGTGGCGCGATTGTTGTTGTGATGTGAAAAAAAGAACATAGGCACGAGCGTTGAGGCTGTGCAAGTTAACACAAACATAACATAAGCATATTTCTCTCTCACTTGCCGACGCTTGTGACATGGTGCCGACGAAACAGTATTGAATTCAGCGCCCTGACCACAGCGGACAGCAACAGTTATCTGACTCCTTACATTAGTGTGGGTGTGTCAGCATCATTGTCGAGCAAATCGGCACGCCGATTCGCTGTCCCACACTTTAGTTTTAGTTCTGTTTTGTATTCACGAGAAAACGTCACGATAAAATTCATTACTCCGGCACCAGCCGTAAATTAAAAGTTCTTTTATTCTCTCAGCCTAAGCGAGAGTCAACTTGCAAAATAACTTATTTTGCATGCGTGGCTTTAGTCTGATGACAAGAGCAGAAGCAACAACGAGACAATTACGATTCACTGCGTTCAAAGTAAAAAGAATATCGCTTGCTGAGTTAAAAATATATCATGGAGCAAAACAGTTTAGAGCCATCTCCGACATATGTATGTATGTGCATACATATGTACATATGTATGTACAGTGAACCAAGAAAGTATTGACACACTTGAAAAATCAAACTTTTAAGCTGTAACTTTTTTCTTGAACACAGCTACATATAAATAAATGAAAAACGGTATTTATTAAAACCATGTTTTCTAATAATATTTGACAAAAAAAAGTTCTAGTTTGGTTCACTTGCGCAGAACTAAAATATAAATATAGGCACAAATCTTCGTCAAAAAAGTATTGGCACAAATGGCGTAATCAGTCATTTCCATCGGTAGTCAATCACCCCAATACTTTGTGTGGGAATAACCGCCTGCAAACGTCTCTTCATGCTAATTATTAGCATTGTCGTTTCATAAGTAGTGATATTCGCCCATCCAGCGAGAAGGCCTCTTGTAGAGAATTCTTTGTGGATATTCGGTGAGATCGGATCTTCCTTTCCAACAGATGCCATACATGATCGATGGGATTCAAATCCGGTGATTGGGTCGGTGCTTTGAACTGCTTGCAATGGTATATGAGCCTCTCCTGCACAAGATAAGAGGAATGTTTTGGATTATTATCTTGCTGAAACTGCCAATCAGTGCCACTGAGGCGCAGTTATTCAATATCTGGACTTTAATTCTCTTTGAGAATGTCTCTATAAATATGCTTGTCCATAGTGTCATCAATAAACACAAGGTTTCCAACTCCAGAAGCAGCAAAACACCCCCAAACCATCACATTACCTCCATCATGCTTAACCGTTTTGAGCAAGTTATTTTCCTAAAGCTCCTTCTTAGGTTTCCACCAGATCTTTTGCGCTCCAACAGACCCTAATAGATTAAATTTGGACTCGTCACTGATGGAGCGCAAACAGTACTCAGTGGTTAATCGGCTCCTCTTTTCTGTTAACGTAGCACCTGCCTTACATTTCAAATTTTCATTAGGTGTTAGGTGTTATTGCCAGTAAAGCTTAAAACATACATACATTGAGAGACGCGAACTCGTTGATATGCTTCAGCTTAAAATGCTGAAGCATGTTGGTTGTGTTTTTGCAAAATGTTAATTGTTTTTGGCATATTTGGAAAAGTATTTCCATACTTTACTTTTTGTTGATGCCATTATAAACAGTAAAGTTCCTTCTTCTCGCTTCCCTTCAGCGTCGGCTCTCGCGAGCTTTCACCACGCTGGGCAAGGTTGCACTGCCGATCGCCAGGATTGTGCGCTCCAGCCGCTGCACTATGGGTAAAAACCCCGATATTTTGGCATAAATTGTCCCTGTTGAGATAGAAGGTTGAAATTTTGTATACATACTAATATGTATTTTGTTTAATTTTGGATTTTTTTTTTTTTCAAAATTTAGCCACGCCTACATCCCCTCCCCCTCCATACAAATTTATAAAGTATACAAATTAAGACTTTTCCTTATATACAAGTGTAAATTAAATACTATTTATATTTTATATATATTTTTAATATGTTTTACATATATTTAATATATATTTTTGGATCCGCCCCATTCGCTGTAAGAAAAACAAAAGAAATATCATAAATAAGCATGAGTCAATTAATTTTTTAAAATTTTCTTTCAATACCTGAACAAAAATTTTAATCACTTTCTTCTTCTTCCAACTCAATACAATTGTCATCATAAGTGTCCTCATCTGTGCCATCAGAATCATCTTCCTCATCTTGGCTTTCGGTTGAGCCGGTGTGCTGGTTTGAAGTATTGTGAGAACAATCCTCTAAGAGTTCAACAACTTCTGATGGCAAATTCTTTCTCCTATTTCGCCGCGCTCGTTCTTTTAAGCTAAGGCTAGAAATAAGTGGATCAGATGAGTCAAGTGCTCTGTTAAACACATCACTTATATTCTCTAGCCGACTGCTCTTTCTAGCATGGGATTTCCGATCGTTCTTGTAGATTTTGTTTCGCGCTTCAGACGCATTTTCTCCCAAAACGCCAACTGGAACTATACAATTGTCCATTATTTGATGTCCATGCACCAAAATTTTGTGGACAGTTGGAGACATTGGATACCAAATGTATTTTGCCGTGTACATATAAAAGGTTTTCTCGCATAGATCTTTAAATTTCCAGGAGTTTACCTTATACTCGCAAGAAATAGTAATTAATATTGTATAAAAGTTTCTTAAAATTTGGTCATCAAAACTTAAAATGTTGGAAAACAGCTCGACATTATTGAAAGCTCTTCTTGCGGTGTTGCCGTCATTGGTATTGCCACTTCCATTTTGTTTGGGGCTGTCCACATTAAGCCCCATTTCATTTCGCAACCTTCTTTGGATGTACTGCTTTCGTTGGCATACGTTTTGCTTGTCAGATCCTTTAACACGCCATTTTTTCACCTCTAATCTGTATGAAATCTTCAATACAAACTCCAGAAACCGAATCCATGCATGTAACGGGCTTACTCCAAATTGAAGGCTTTTGGAATTAACAGCAAATACTGCAGAGTTGAAGTCAGTAGTTTTTAGTAATTGGTTTGGCTTTGCTCCACATAATGGGCATACTTGGCAAGAGTTGGTTCCAGTTAAAACATTTAAAACCTTTCCGTCAATTAACGTCATGTAGGGTTTGTAAGTCACAAATATACTTCTTCCTTTGAAATTATACATATAATTCTTAAGGTTTTTTATTTGTGCGTCCAAATTTAATTTTTCTTTCAATATTTGTTCTGTAGTTTCCTTAATAAATTCGAGTTTTAATGGCCGACAATATCTTACAGATTGTGGAGTAGAATTAAGCCATATTACTTGATTGCATTCATCATTTAATTGTAATGGAATTATTGTTGTTACAAATAAAGAGTGATCCACTCCGATACGATCATCTTCTTCAAATCGCTGCTTATAAACGGATTGTCCTGTAGAACCGTCAAAACCATAACTTAATATTAACGAACAACGCGTTGAATTGGATATTTCAAGAACGTTCTGCTGCATCTGAAGAATACGATCAACTGTGTGATTCAACAAATTTTGCAACGAGACTTCAACTTTTGTTTCAGAGTACATGATATCCTCAGGTCGACATTTTAGTTTATTTTCTGCAACTTTAGCGTAAGGTGGAAAGATGTCACATCGTTGTTTTTTATTAAGAGCCTTTATATTGAGATATTGCTGCTTAGTCAGTCCATTTTCAATTAAAAACGCTAATGCTTCATCAATATTTAATGGCATCGGGTCGTTCTTCTCAAGTTTACTCTTAACATCAGTTAAATTATCGTTGCTGATAGCCTTTTTCAAAACATATGTAGTATCTCTTTCCTTTAATTTTTTGGACGAAACCAATGCAGCATGCATCAAAAGAGGAGTCGAGTTGTCGTGCTCTGATGCAAGGGTAGAAGCCAATTTTCGTTTTAATCGAGGTCCAGCATCGTTATAGCTTAATTGCTTCCGACCTACTTTTTCAAGTGATCTGCCGTATGAAATCACTTTTATGCTCGACTCTAGCCAACGCGGGTGCTTTGCTTTTAGCCGTTCCAGCATTCGATTGCATTTAGGCAAATTATAATTTACAAATCGCACAAATTGTTTAACTTTAAGCTCAATGGCGTTTAGTTGATCGTCTGAAATATTTGCTTTGCCTATTTTCTGTACGATATAATCTACAACAGCGCTTTCTTGTCGCTTGTTGCTGCTCCACACTTCCAGCAGCATGGAATTGCAGAACTCATGTGTAACTGCAACATGCCGATTATTTTTTGAAGGGGCAAATATGAGCAAGAAGTCTTTTTATTATTGGGTTCAGCAAATATTAACACAGATTTTCTCATTTAAACATTTTAAATACCTTTCTCGCCTCAAAAATTACAACTCACGAAACGCACAAATAAGTTTTAATTTTTATCTAAAAATACACAACAACAACACATTGCACAATTGGACGATAAATCACAGAACTACCAAAATTAATATAATGATCTTATTTGACATACCTTCCTGAATCTTTTCCATAACAAATATTTTTCACTATCTCAAACACCCAAAGATTTACACACATTGAAAGTAGAGAATGATTTCCCGCACTTTTTTCAATTTACCATGCAACCCTGAATCAGCTGACTTTGACGAAGCTTAAAACATTATGGGTAGTCCCCAAAATTTTATAAAAATTGTTTTTAAGTCGGCTGGAGTTTTCTAAATGAGAATATAAAAAAAGTTGGCGAGTACTGAAAATTTTTTTTTTTGGATTTATGCCAAAAAATCGGACTTTTTACCCATAGTGCGCTGTTCAAATTTAATTTAACGCATAACTTTCAGATTATTAACTTACTTATATACTAACAGCTTCATTATTCATCTTACAGTCTACCAATTAAATATTATCTTATCTAACGCTGTTTAGTGGCAGTGTGAGATGGGTCCCAAATTTCACGCAGCGTATTTGAAATATTCTCGCTGTTGTCAGATCAACTAGAGATTGTGTAGACAATACAGCAGATTGTAAATTGAAATTCTCAATATAATGCCATGTCACCGAGATAATTATATTTGTTTAAATATTATTATAATAATCGTTTCTTTTGTTGGTTCATTTTGAGGAAAGAGTTCTCAGTGAGAGTTAACAGACGTGTTTACTTTTGTGCTCTGCAAATATTCTTTTTTCTTAGTTAAATAGTCTTATTAAAATTCACATAACTGCGGTTCGGTTGATCATTGCAAATATCTATTCCTGTGCAAGGTTTGATCCGTGGTTCGCTGTGTTTTTTTGATAATTGTTTTTTTTTTATACTTATTCACGAAAGTGAATCAGTATATTGGTTTTGTGCAATGTCCGTCTTGCTGTCCGTCCGTCTGTCCGTCCGTCCGTCTGTCCGTCTGTCCGTATGAACGCAATCTATTTCGGCGCTATTGAAGCTAGAGACTTGAAATTTGGAACACATACTCGTGTATATCTCCGATTTATAAAGTGTTAAAATTTTCCCGATCCGCCTTTTAGGGGCGTGGCAAATCGGAAAATGCATTTTCCGACATACCAGAAATCATGTTAGTTAAAGAGCTAGAAAGCTGAAATTTGGTATGTAGGTCCGCGTTGACCACCCAAGATCACGAGCTATGGCGGATATATCTACGCCCATTGGGGGCGTGGCAAATCGGATAAAACTGTATATCCTAAAGTTGTAAACCTAGAATGCTGAAATTTTGCACGTCAGCTAATGGTATGACTCTATAAAGTCTAAAGATAAAATTATAAGTTTATGCCCAGTGGGGGCGTGGCAAATCGGACCTGAAGATATATTGATTTTTTAAATTCTCCTATATTTTAGACACTACTGATGGCAGAGACCTCAAATTTTGTATATATACTCGGACTGATCACCCAAGACCAAAAAGTTTTGTCGGATATATGTCCGCCCACAGGGGGCGTGGCAAACCACAAAAGTTTATATCTCCTAAAGTATAATAGATAGAAGCTTTAAATTTGGATAGTTGAGTTACTGGTAGCCTCCTCTATCGATTCCCCAAAAATAATTTTTACGCCTCTTTAGGGGCGTGGCATATCGAAAAATACCCTGTAATTTTCTCATTTTTTGAGGTTAAGCATTCAAACTTTGCAGTTAGGGTACCGTTATCTCTTTCTAAAAACTGACCAAAAATGAGGTGTCTACGCCCAGTTGGGGCGTGGCAAATCGGAAAAACCTGTATAATCTACAGTATTAGAGCGAAACTTAACTACTAAATTGTTGATGGGATGTGAATGAGTATTCCGCAGTCGGTAACGCCCGACTGCAACGTTCTTACTTGTTTTTATTTGTGAAGTTTGGTGCAGCGTCGGTTATTACTTCCATTATTTGCATTTTTATACCCTGAACCCATTGAAAAGCTGAGTCGATTTAGTTCTGTACGTCCGTCCGTCTGTCCGTATGTTTGAACGCGTCGATCTCAGAAGATATAAGAGCTGGAGACTTTTGTACCCCTGTAGCAAAGAGATCCAATCTCGAGAACAGTATAGCCGGCGGCCGCCCAGTCCCAGCTCTGGTGTATAACGCTCGGAGCCTTTCATACGGGAGCTGCTCTCGAACTTGGCAGCTCTTGCCTACTTCACTATATATGAAAGTGCTGTCGTTTGGATTTTTGACACCCTGTCTATCACTCCTAATTAACTAGGCACTCGCCCTCACTAAAAACACGTGGGACAAAAAACTTGTCGGCTAATTGCAGGAGGCGTCATGGTGAAGTTTTGAGGGTTGATCCGCTGTTACGTCCGTTCGCATCCAGAGCCTACAGAAAAGTGATCGAACTTAATTTCTGCGCTTAGCGCTGTGCGTTCGGGATTCTGAGCTGCTGCTTATGCATGAGCTTTCGATTCTGCCGCGGCGCAGCGTCGCTGCAAACATTCGCGTGCTTTACGCCGTTTGATTTCCAGTGCTGTTCTCCGTCCCAAGGTTGTTACTTCTGTCCGATGCTGTTGCTAATTTTTTTTGCCGCCGTTGTTGTTGTTGCTATGCTGAACGGTGTGTATTGCCCGTTGAGTAATGCAGACTGTACTCGGTTGAGCGCCGCTTGATTTCTCAGCGTCGTTTTCTGTCGCTGTCCGTTTTGTCGTTGTTTCTTTCCGATGTTGCCCTATCGTCAGTATACTTGGGTAAAAGCAGCTCATTGAGGTGAACCGGCTCACTCGCTCTTTTTTGTGAAGTGAGCCAACTCACTCATATGGCGCACTGGCTCACCTGCTGATTTGATTGAAATGAGTCCAAATTTCGCTGTGCTTTCTAATTACCGACATTGAAAGTTTGATGAAATACACAATTCGCGGGAAAAAACGTTAACTTTGCGATTGAGAAGAACGCAAAATGAGCGAGTGAGCAAAAATGCGCTAGTCAACCAAAATGAGCTAGTGAGCCAAAATGAGCCATATAGAAGGAACTGGCTCACTGCCTCAGTTCAGTGAGCCATTCATTTTAGCTCACTCACTCATGAGCTACCCAAGTCTAGTCGTCAGTCGTGTCGTTGCGACCGTTCGCTGCTGCGTCGCCTTTTTATTACCTTAGACTATATGCATAAAAATGGGTATACCTGTTTTGCTTAACTATAATTTTAATACTTGATGATCTTTCTCTTAATTCTAAACATTTGGTGTTACACTACTATAATGCGTGGGCGAACTCCGGTCCTGCAAAATTGTGAGACTTCACACCCCACCTTTGTTGCCAAAGGGCTTCCCTGGTAGGCTGGTGACGTCGCTCCGTCTAGCCGTTGTATAGCGGGCGGTTCTGTCCGCACTCGACTAATGCGGTAGTGGCAGCCGTTGAAGATCCGCATATAGCTTATGCGCTTCGGGGCTGGCTCCAGTATCGATCCCGCCACGTGCGCCACAGGTTGGCAGCTTGGCCTCATCAGTGAGCCGTCCCTCGGCCAGGGGTTCTGGGGGCTGGGTGATTGGCTCCTCTCCCGGTGGGTTCTGGCTCACGATGCGCTCTGCCTTCTCGCGGTGTTGCAGCCGAAGGTGGGAACCCTCTCCCCAACGGCTACCCGGGTCCTCTAGGAGGGTTTGTGGTAGAAGACGTGGGGGTGTCGGTTGTGGGCTGTGCTGACATAATTTTTCGAGAAAATCGATTAGCAAAAAAGAAGCCAA